GTTTTTCTTTCTGTATTCTATTGATTCCATGCCAACTCTGCATGTTATTACTTATATGTGGAATTGTAAAAAAAAAAAAAAAAACAACTGAACTCATAGAAGCAGTTAATAGAAAAGTGATTACCAGGACCAAGTTGGAGGTGGAGGAATTAAGGAGAGGTTGGTAAAAAGGGACAAACCTTCAATTACAAAATGAGTAAGGTCTGAGGATCTAATGTATAACTTGGTAATTATATTGGTAATATTGTATCAATTATTGAAATTTACTAAGAGAGCAGCAGACTCCTCCCTGAGCACAGAGCCGGACTTGGAGTCAATCCCACAACCCTGAGAGCACAACCCCAGTGGAAATGAAAGAATTCAACATTCAACTGAATGAACCACTGAGGTGTCCCTTCATGGAAATTTTTTAAAGACAATTTTCTCCTTTGTTGATTTTCTGTTTTGTTGTTCTGTTCACTCTCATTGCTTTCTGCTCTTATTATTGTAATAATGTTATTTATTACTATTAATTTATGATTGATGACTATTTCTAATGAGTTGATACTTTCTATTTATTTTATTTTATTATGTTACCTTAGTCACCATACAGTACATCATTAGTTTTTGATGTAGTGCTCCATGATTCACTGTTTGCGCATAACACCCAGTGCTCCATGCAATACGTACTCTCCTTAATACCCATTACCGGGCTAACCCATCCCCCCACTTTTCTCCCCTCTTATACACTGTTTTTTCTTACAGACCATTGTCTTTCATGGTTCATCTCCCTCTCTGATTTCCCTCCTTTTATTTTTCCCTTCCTTCTCCTAATGTCCTCCATGCCATTCCTAATGTTCCACATATAAGTGAAACATATGATAATTGTCTTTCTCTGTTTAACTTATTTCACTTTGTCTAATCCCTTCCAGTTCCAACCATGTCAGTGCAAATCATGGGGATTCATTCTTTCTGATGGCTGAGTAATATTCATTGTATATATGGACCACATCTTCTTTATCCATTCATCCGTTAAAGGGCATCTTGGCTCCTTCCACAGTCTGGCTATCATGGACATTGCTACTATAAACATTGGTATGCATATGGCCCTTCTTTTCACGACACCTGTATCTTTGGGGTAAATACCCAGGAGTGAAATTGCTGGATCACATGGTAGCTCTATTTTTAACTTTTTGAGGAACCTTCACACTGTTTTCCACAGTGGCTGCATCAACTTGCAATTCTTTCACTATTATGAAATACTCTTCTTTCTCCATAACAAGTTCCCATAACTTGAAGCCTATTTGGCCTATGATGAATATTGCTACTATAATTTTCTCAGTTATTGGTTTCATGGTATTATTTTTTATCAATTTTTACTCAACTATCTAAGTATATTTAAATTTCATCTTTTATAGACAGTATATAGCTAAACTTTGCTGTCATTTTTAAATAGCCTAACCTGATAGGCTGTGCCTTTTAATTAAAGTGTTTCTTCAGAGGAGGAGCAAGATGGCAGAGCACTGAGAGACCTAAATATTCTTAGGGTCTAGGAGTTTAGCTAGATAATTATCAAACCATTCTAAATGCCTACAAACTCAAAAGGAGATGAAAGAGAAGAAGAGCAGCAATTCTAAGAACAGAAAAGTGACCACTTACTGGAAGGTAGGCTGCATAGAGAATGGAGAAGTAAATTTGAGGCAATATATAGGAAGAGACCACACGGGGGGGGTGAAAGGGCCAGCTCTCAGCAAGTGGTACAGCAGCGGAGCACAAAACAGGAATCTTTAGAAGTCAGCTTCACTGAGGGACATCGCTCCAGAGTTAGCTAAGCAGGGGAGGCGGGCCTGTGGAACCCTTGTAGGGACAGTGTGGTCTCAGGACCCACAGGGTCACAAAAAGACTGGAAGTGTCTGAGTGTGACAGAGCGCCCAGGTATCAGAGCAGGGAAGCCAGCTGCAGAGATGGAGCTGAGGAGGGGGCTCTCAGCTCAGTGTTACCTTAAATCATGATCCAAGGCACAGTCAGGCCATTGCTCCTTGATCAGGGATCCTACAAGTGGCAGATCCAGGGAGACTCACCTTCTTTCCCTGCACAGTACCACACTATAGAAATCAGCTGGGTTTGGAGACTCCAAACGGGGCCAGGCACCAGAGATAGAAATGCTTGGTTACAGGCTGGGTGAGCATGGAGCTCGGCCAGAGACCAGAGAGATGGGAGGGACTGACTGCTTTTCTCTGAGGGTTGCACTGAGGCTCCTTTGGGCAGGAGATTGGGAGGCCGCCACTTTCTGAAAGCATTCAGGGAACAAAAGCTCCAAGAGCAAACCTGAGCAGATTTCTTAGCCTGGTCCCTGGCAAGGGCAGTGTAATTCTGCCTCAGGCAAAGACATTTGAGAATCACAGCAATAGGCCCATCCCCCAGATCAGCAAGAACATCCAGCCAAGATCAAGTTCACTGATCAATGAGAACTGCAGAACTCCAGAGTTAAAGAAATACTGTATATAGAATTCATGGCTTTTTTTCCCCCCCATGATGCTTTAATCTTTCAAAGTTAATTTTTTTTTTATTTTATTTTTTTCTTATTCTATTTTCTTTAATTTTTCCTCTTTCCTATTTTAACCCTTTTGAACTATTTTATCTTATAAATGGCTTTTTAAAAAAATCTTTTAAAATTTTCATTGCTATAGGCATATTCTATCCCTTCATTGTATTTAACCTTATTTTTTGTATACATATAGGTTTTTCTTTCTTTCGAATTTTGGGATACAGTTTCTTCTAACAGATCGAAATATACCCTAAATCTAGCACATGGCATTGTTCTTGTCTCCAGCCTGATCACATTCTTTTCTCCTTTATTTTTTCTTTTTTCAACCAACTTCTTCTTATTAATTTCTTTTTAAGAATCATTTTAATTTTCATCTTTACAGTCATACTCCATTGCTTCATCGTTTACCCTTATTTTTGTATATATATGTTTTTCATTCTTTAAAATACACCCAAAACCAAATGTGTGGCTCTGTTCTATTCACCAGTCTAAATATATATACATATGTGTGTATATATATATATACACACATACATACATATATATAAAATATATGAGAGAACAAAATACTAAAAGGGTAGCAATGACCCCAGAAAAATATACACTAATGAAATTGGAAGAGATCTGAGACCTAAAACCAGGGTGGGGGGGTAGGCGGTTGGGGAGAAGCAAGGAGGGGAAAAAAATAAATATAAATAAATAAATAAATAAATAAAATAAAAATAGAAAAAAAATATATATATATATTTTCCCCCTCCTTTCTTCTCCTCAACCCCCCCCCCCCACCCAGTTCTAGGTCTCAGGTCTCTTCCAATTTCATTAGTGTATATTTTTCTGGGGTCATTGCTACCCTTTTAGTATTTTATTCTCTCATTCATCTATCCTTATCTGCATAAAATGACAAGGCAGAAAAACTCACCTCACAAAAACAAAGAAGAGACAGTACCAACTGTTACGAACTTAACTAATATGGACATTGGTATGATGTCAGAAGTAGAGTTCAGAATGACGACCATCAAGATGCTAGCTGGGCGACAGTACAGACAAAAGGTTGATATCCAAGATGTATAAAGAACTCCTCAAACTCAACACACACAAAACAGACAATCATGTAAAAAAATGGGCAGAAGATATGAACAGACACTTCTCCAATGAAGACATACAAATGGCTATCAGACACATGAATAAATGTTCATCATCACTAGCCATCAGGGAGATTCAAATTAAAACCACATTGAGATACCACCTTACACCAGTTAGAATGGCCAAAATTAGCAAGACAGGAAACAACATGTGTTGGAGAGGATGTGGAGAAAGGGGAACCCTCTTCCACTGTTGGTGGGATTGCAAGTTGGTGCAGCCACTTTGGAGAACAGTGTGGAGATTCCTCAAGAAATTAAAAATAGAGCTTCCCTATGACCCTGCCATTGCACTACTGGGTATTTACCCCAAAGATACAGATGTAGTGAAAAGAAGGGCCATCTCTACCCCGATGTTTATAGCAGCAATGGCCATGGTCGCCAAACTGTGGAAAGAACCAAGATGCCCTTCAACAGATGAATGGATAAGGAAGATGTGGTCCATATACTCTATGGAGTATTATGCCTCCATCAGAAAGGATGAATACCCAACTTTTGTAGCAACATGGACGGGACTGGAAGAGATTCTGCTGAGTGAAATAAGTCAAGCAGAGAGAGTCAATTATCATATGGTTTCACTTATTTGTGGAGCACAACAAATAGCATGGAGGACAAGGGGAGATGGAGAGGAGAAGGGAGTTGAGGGAAATTGGAAGGGGAGGTGAACCATGAGAGACTATGGACTCTGAAAAACAATCTGAGGGTTTTGAAGGGGTGGAGGGTGGGAGGTAGGGGGAACCAGGTGGTGGGTATTAGGGCACGGATTGCATGGAGCACTGGGTGTGGTGCAAAAACAATGAATACTGTTATGCTGAAAAGAAATTAAAAAAAAATATATATATATATATATATATATATGCTAGGTGGGCTGAAAAAAGCATGGAAGATACTAGAGAATCACTTTCTGGAAAAATAAAATTACTTTCTGGAAAAATAAAGGAACTAAAATCTAACCAAGTTGAAATCAGAAAAGCTATTAATGAGGTACAATAAAAAATGGAGGCTCTTACTGCTAGAATAAATGAGGTGGAAGAGAGAATTAGTGACATAGAAGACCAAATTATGGAGAATAAAGAAGCTGAGGAAGAGAGAGATAAACAACTACTGGACCACAGAGGAGAATTCAAGAGATAAGTGATACCATAAGATGAACAATAGTAGAATAATTGGGATCCCAGCAGAAGAAGAAAGAGAGGGGCAGAAGGTATATTGGAGCAAATTATAGCAAAGAATTTCCCTAATTTGGCAAAGGGAAGAAGCATCAAAATCCAGGCGTCATAGAGAACCCCCCTCAAAAATCAGTAAAAATAGGTCAACACCCTGTCATCTAAGCGTGCTAAGAGGCCTTTGCTTTCCGTGGGGGCTTTCTCCCAGGCTTGGTCCGGTGTCGGCATGGCCCGAGGAAATCAGCGAGAACTTGCCCACCAGAAAAACATGAAGAAATCCCAGGAAATTAGCAAGGGAAAAAGAAAAGAGGATAGTTTGACCACCTCTCAGAGAAAGCAGAGGGACTCTGAGATAATGCAACAAAAGCAGAAGGCAGCTAATGAGAAGAAGTCTATGCAGACAAGAGAAAAATGATGACTATTTGGAAAAACCTGGGTGCTACTGCCGACTAGGTGTATCATAAGCTCGAAGGGTCAAAATTTTGTGGAGCTAACAGTCATATGTTATATCCTTATAAAACTATTTTAAGCTTTACCTTTCAGACCAAGTCTCAGTGACAAAGAGAAAATCCTGAAAGCAGCTCAGGACAAGAGGTCTATAACATACAATGGTAGAAATATTAGATTGGTAGCATATCTATCCACAGAGACCTGGCAGGCTAGAAAGGACTGGCATGATATATTCAAAGTACTAAACGAGAAAAATATTCACCCAAGAATACTATATCCAGGCAGGCTCCTTAATTTCTTTCTTCTGTCTTGCTGTTAGTATACAGAAATGCAACTGATTTCTGTGCATTGATTTCATATGCTGAAGAGGATAAGTTCTAGCAGTTTTGGAATGGAATCTTTTGGGTTTCCCACAAAAAGTATCATATCATCTGCAAAGAATGAGAGTTTGACTTCTTAGCCAATTCGAATGCCTTTTATTTCTTTTTATTGTCTGATTGCTGAGGCTAGGACTTGTAGTACTATGTTGAATAGCAGTAGTGACAATGGACAGCCCTGCTGTGTTCCTTACCTTAGGGGAAAAGCTCTCTGTTTTTCCCCCATTGAGAATGATATTGAGGTATGTACCCTGAAGCAAATAATACCTTATATGTTAATAAAATAAAAAAATAATTAAATAACGTTGAGTAAAGAAGAAAAAAAAAGTATTCTTCTTTTTCTAATGATTTTAATTTTTCTGTCAGAATTTCAGCTATACATCCTTGTATTATATTTAATAGTTTTTCTATAAATTATAGCAAGAAAAGTTAACATTAGGGGTGCCTATGTGGCTCAGTCAGTTAAGCATCTGCCTTCAACTCAGGTCATGATCTTATAGTCCTGGATTGAGCCCCACATCGAGCTCTTGCTCAGTGGGGAAGCCTGCTTCTCCCTCTCCCTCTGCCTGCCACTCCCCCTACTTGTGCTCTCTCTATCAAATATATAAAATCTTTAAAAAAATAAAAAACAAAAGTAAATATTATACAACTTTGCCATGAATATAAGAAACTAGACATAGTATAGCTTTATTTTTCATTGTCCTTTGCACTTTTATTATCATATATATGTAATATAATACTGTATTATATACCTACATCTATATAATTGCTAAATAACTGGGCAGTAATATTTGTCACTACATGAATTTCTTTTTTCCACAAGAATATTTTACCCACAGGATTTTGCATCCATTTGCCAATATTTGCTTCTTTAAGTTTTATATTGGGGGTTGCGAATGGATAATTTTCAAATTCTATATTGATTAGCTGTCACTCTTTCCCCCCTAAGAAACATCTCTACAGAAATTAAAAGCCAATGAATAAAAATTAGAAGATTATCATTTCAAAGATCAACATTTGCAGGCCATGTGTTCTTTTTGAGACATCCTGTAGTAATGTTGGAGTGCTATGTGTAAAGGCCAGTCTGATTGGAATTTCCTTCCTCAAAGCAAGGTGGCATCTCCAGGCCTCCATGAAGTTCCAAGAGCTATGACCCAGAGATATCACATGGAGCTCTGAAGTTCCCATGAGCTGGGTCTGGGAAGGTCCCTCCCTTGTTAATTCAGTTAGAAATGATTAATTTCCCAATGGAAACACTCCCAGTGAGTGGGCTTCTGGATTGCAGTAGATTAAGGTGTATGTATCTCCACCTGGTTAAATGCTTGCCAACCAGCTTCTGTAAAAAGGAATTCAAACCCAAAGACACCTTCTCTTCTCTGAGCTGATTATCTTCTTTCAAGCTAAGAAGAAATAATGCCTGACAGACACTCATATGCATTACTGCAGGAGATCCTATTCCATTTTATCTCTGCCTTATTGTTTGGGATAGCCAACTCTCTCCTTAATAAAAATTCCAAAAGTGATTATTTCTCCTTTGAAAGAAATACAAAATTTTAGGTAAAAAAAATCAGCTCCTTTGAGACCCATCCAGCGCCCTATTGCTTAAACACTTCAAACGAGAGTAACATCATCCCCAGCCATTCTTCCCAGTAGCAGGGCCTCACTGGGGTAGTGGGGTAACCAACTCTAGATTTTTCACAAGTCCTACTGGCAAGTAAATTCTTTCAGCTATGTATAATTCCCTATCCCTACTATCTGGCTCTCAAATGTAACTCTACCACTTCCCAGTCATAGGACTTGGGATAAGCTACTTAGGACCTTAATTCATTTAACTCATTTTTTTTCCTATAAAACAAGGAAAATTGTAATAATAGTACAAGGGAGTACTGAATGAGACTGTGTAGTGCCAGCATGGTTTCGAATGTTCTGTGATTTTAGTCCCTTGTCCCTTTTCTTCAATCCTTTTTATACCCTTGGCCTCACAGTAACCACCCAAGAGAGGAATCCCTCTCTCTACTTTATATTTAAGGATGCTGAAGCTTAGAGAGATCATCCATTATAGTGACAAGCTCTTAGCTGCCCTGTCATCTCTCCCTACCTTTTCCCTGAGCCTTTCATGAAATCTACATTGATGACTCATTCCTGACTCATTCCAGAATGAGGGATTCCCAGAAGTAAGGTTTTCAGTGCAAAACCATGACAGTCCTAGGCAAACTAGATGGCTGAATACCCTCAAGTCCTACTTTTGGACTTAATTGCCATTTCTGTTTTGTTTCTTTTCCCTGCTAAGGGGATATCTCATTGATTCTATCCATTAACCCAATGAAATACTTCTGCCAGAATCTCATGTACCTTCAAACATTACATCCTTATACCATCCCTGTGTCTTTCTGGTCTTCGTCTGTCTTCTCAATTTTTCTTAGGTTCTTTAAGCCAAAGAGAAAGATGGATGCCATACCTCCAGTGTGTCCATCTCCTGTTAGATTCAAGGATCACAGACCTTGAACTTTGATTTTCTTGAAACATGCCAGGGGGCTTCTTAGGGACTTTATAAATAACTATCAGCCCCAGTGAGTCTCATCCTCACTTTTCCAATAGGCTTTTGGTTCTTGGACAATGAGTACCCTGCTCTTACATGCCAGACTCTCACCTTGGCCCTGGATATCCCCCCACATAGGCAGTCTTCCAATCTATAAATACATAATACTTTATATAATTTGTTCGAAGAGCCCAGTAAGCCCTGAAAAACAAAAACACACGTATACACACACAAAAGAAAAAAACCACACTAGCAGTCCACTAAGCATATGTGCCTTAGATTCTGTAACACCTGGATTCATTTCCCAGTTTCCAGATCTTAGGCCAGGCAATTACTTCTTCGAGTCTAGTTTTCCTTGCTATAGGACAGGGTAATGATTAAATGATTTGCTATTAGTAATGTACTTAAAAGAGTACCTGTAAGCAGTAGGCACTTACTAACTGCTAGGTTTCTTTCTTCTTTTAAGCTAGGTACCAGGACTTATCTTCCTCAGGTCTTTCAGGGTATGCTTATCACCAAGATCTGTGGGCTTTAATGGGTTGTCAGCTGGACTATAGGGGTTCCACAGGTGCTGATTTGGTTGGTTTCTGCAGAGGTAACAAAAGTGACATCTTGCAGGGGCCAGACTCTCTTCATCTTCTATGCAGGATGCAAGGTGACCATGCTCCTGAGAAGTACCTGGAGTCACTCTCAGACACACCTGGGTCCTCACTGACTACAGAGTGCTGAAGGCACATGTGGGCACTAATTGAATAAAGCTTTCTCAGAATCAATATGGCTTAACTCCAAGTTAGCCAACTATTTAAATAAGCAAAAGAAAATGCTACTCACTGGCCTCTGCTGTTTGTCTCCTAATTATGAGCATATTTGGCTGACTCAGAACCAATTTATGTGCAGAAACCAAACAATTAAAAAGGTCTCATTACTAAAACCTGGGCATCCTTTTATGCAAATGAAGCACTGTGATCTACATGGAATGGCAATGAGGTCCTACTGTACAAGCAAAGCTGTACCTTCAGTGGCACATGTACAAGCATGTGTACCTTCAGTTGCAAGGAGGTCCCAGCTGGGTTGAGCCTTGGGATGCTTTTGCTAATCTTTTTTGTGGCATAGGGGAAGCATGAGGACCATCTCTAGTCTACAACGATGACACTCATGTCAACCCTAGAGACAAAGCAAGGATACTGTTATCTACCCATGTGAATCATCCTTCTGGTACCCCTGGTCTCAAGTCTTCTCCCTCCCAAATCCTGTACCTCTGCACATCTTCAACTACTCACTCACGGCCACACTCTGAGGTCACATTATGATCACCATATAGTAAGAGAAGAGATATCTACCTACTCCTACAAAACTTACCATATCCTACACTTCACGTGCATTATCACATTCAATTCTCACTGCAGGTTTTGGACATAGGAACTAATGTTATTTCTACAGATGAAACAACTGAGTTCCAAATACACACAGCTAATAACTAAGAGACAGGACTTATATCCAGATGTGTCTAATACCACAGTATATATTTTTACCGGTTCCTCATTGCTTCTTTTCTGCAATCTCTGATTTAACATTGCCACATCTACCTAAAGTCTCTCTCTTCACCTGTCTCAGTAAAACTGCTCTAACTTAAGCCTCACGGAGAGCTCCAGTCCTATGTCCTGCTTTATCTACCCAATCCGCCAATCTCAGCCCAGCTTTACTTTCTTCCCTATCAACCTGGTTATGATGTCAGTCATTTCAACTGCATGTTTACCAACTCCCTCCACTCCTCTGATCCCTTAATCTTTCTCAGCACATACTCTAATGATGTCCAGACCTGAATCAATACAACCGCCTGTTTTTCCCTCAGTCACCCTGGGGATACAGAGGGCTATTGGATAAAATCCATGACACATGTATGAATTCAGCCATTGTTAAGCTATCAGTTTCACTCAAAAATCCTTTACCCTGCTCATGTTGGATCCCTTTCCTATTCACCACAGGGGCGACACTTAGTCTTGTCTTTATCTTCAGGCACCCCACCAGGTTCCTGACCTCATTCTCTCAGTTGATGAATAAGTAGTATGTGTCACTGAGAAAATTGAGATCATTAAGCATGAACTCCTTCCACTTTCCTCTAAAATCCCTTTACCTTCTCTATTTATGTGCCCACCTGTCCCCTAGATT